GAAGGTTCTGGCTTTTTTTTCAGATTTATATTGTGTTTATGGATAGATAGATAAATAAATAATTTGTGCATGTAAATATTCTATGCTAGAAATAAAAAGTTAATACATGAAATGAATCTCCATTCTGTGAGAAAGGAGGTGAAAGAAAAATAGAATACAATAAAGGTAATCAATTTGATCAGAATACAATAAAAGGTAGTTTTTTATTTTTTTTTTATTTTTTTTTGCTGTTGTATAATTTGTCGTCCGTTTCTTGGCAGTTCCTTTTTCTTAAAGCAGCAGTATGGTGTTGGTTATACTCTTACTCTCGTGAAGGTGTGTCTTTTCACTTGTGCTGTTATCTTCTTCTTTTTTTTGCCTCTGTACGTCCTCTGAATGCGTTTATCTCTCTCCGAATTTCATAATGTTTCGTCTTCAGCGTACACCAACTGCATCTGTGGCAGCTGATATTGTTTACAGTCACATTCCATCGGCAACATGCGTGAGTGAGGTATTCTTTTGATTTTTATCCTTTGTCTGTCATATAACGTGGATACCCTTTTTTCCATTTTTAAATGATTTTCAAAATAGGACCCCCTATTTGGAAGTTAAAAGCATTTTCTTAGAACAATACACATATCCATCAGGGCTATGATCATATATTTGTTTCTTCTTTTCCTTTTTCTCTTTTTTCTTTGTTTTGTCTGTGGGTTTTTATTTTCTATTTCTTACATAACCTGTACATTTCTTGTGCCTATACAGGTTGGTAATGAAATATCGTTCAAGCTTCCGCTTGCATCCTCTTCAGCCTTCGAGAAAATGTTTCGAGAAATTGAGAGTTGCATGCAGAGATCAAAACCGAGCTTCGAGATTCAGGACAATGCTGACTTTGGCATAGAGAGTTATGGTATATCCATCACAACTCTGGAGGAAGTTTTCCTTAGAGTTTCGGGGGGTGATTTTGATGAAACTGAGATCCCTGTTGTCGAGAGGCCATTAATTACACCTAATTCAGATGAAAACCTACTTAACCAAAATAATGCTTCCGGAAGATTCTTTCACTCGAAAATATGTAAAAACTACATAGAGCTCCTTTGTTTTCTGCTCAAAATGATGGCGAAAGCTGGTGGTCTGTTTTTGGAAGCCACGCTACGCGTAGTACAGTTCCTGAGCATGCAGTGGTGTTGTTCTTGTATATTTGCGAGCTCGACTTTCTGGAGGCACTCGAAAGCTTTACTGATAAAGAGAGCAGTTTCAGCTCGACGAGATCGGAAGACGATCGTTTTTCAGCTCGTGATTCCTGTTGTGTTCTTGCTTTTGGGTCTTCTTATGATTCAACTTAAGCCACATCCTGACCAGGAATCAGTGACCTTCACA